AGGGAGAGTGAGTGAGAGTATGTGTGTGTGTGTGTGTGTGTGTGTGTGTGTGTGTGTGTGTGTGTGTGTGTGTCTTCTCCAGGGTGTCGGGTCCACTCCTCTCTCCGGGGATGAAGGGAACAGGCACCCCCCCTCCCCCTCCGCCCCCTCCCGCATTGGAGAAGCATCACGTCCAAGCCCAGCACAAGCCCTTCTCTCACTATCACCACCATCAGACCCCCAACAACGGTCAGGCCAATGAGGACTTTTGCTCTGAAGCACACGACACTTTAGGACACCCGCGCAAACATATGCAAAAAAAAAAAAAAAGGATAATAACATTTCAAAAGGTGGTTTCCTTGGCCAGTGCAAGTTCATATTAAGACATTTTAGAGGCGTGTGTCAACAAATGTTAATTACTAAGCTAATATGAATACAAATATTAATGTCTTTAAGACCGAATAATGAAAGTGATAGAAAATGATTTTATGAAGAATGCAAAATCGTGGCTACAAAGTGACATGACTGTCAATGAATTTTTAAACATGAAGTAGTCACGGTAATGACATGTGTGTTGACTGTGCATATGCAGGCGCATGTTATTAAATTAAAAACAAATAGATCTCAAAATCATTGCCGAAATACATCATGATTAAATGTCATGCATTTCTATATGATGAAATAGTTTGCTCATCAATTCTGAACAATTTAATGGCATCATGAAGGTGTACCTAATGATCCGGCTGCTGAGGTGATATTGCCTGTCAAGCTCGTCGCGCTGCGAAAGATCGAAAGCGCTTTCTTAAAAAGCTGACTCGTTTCCGGAGGAGCATTTTTCTGAAGCCCACTTGGGCCAAGAAAACAGCAGCCGGCGCGTCGCGCTGTTCTCAGAGAACATGGCGAGCCGGGCAGCCGGGCTGCCACCCCAGTCACGCTTTAAAGTTAAACACTGTTTTCTCTGCGCACTTTTGAACACACAGACGGTCCCGTCACCGCTTTGTGGTTAACGCTGTCGCCTCGACATGGTCCAGAAACGGTTGCCTCGCCGCTATTGTGACTCCAGTCCTCCACACGCAGCGACAACGCAGACAATGACCAAGTCTAAGTTAAGACTCACAATAGCGTCTAAAATAGAGATTCGAGACAACTTTTTTTGCGGGTCCAAGGAGAGCGGGCAAATGTTTTCAAGGGCCCTTTCATAATCGCATAACGCTGAAGTCAGCACGTTAAGCTAACAAAATGTCCTGTTATGAGTAAGGATGTTTGATACCGCATATTTTAGACAGTATTTACTCTTTTGAGTATTCACAATACAGAGTACCCATCCGAAAAATTATGAACAAAGGCTTTTCTTTCTGATGCAGCCGATGATGTGTCAGACTACCGCAGTATTGCGTCAACGACTGCCGAGGAGGATTCACGATGTCATATTTGTATTTATTTTGGCCCTTATCGTGGTTGGTATCGGCTGCCTCCAGAAGTACCCGATACCTTAAAATAAGGCACTATCTGGTATCATTGCTCGCCCAGGCTCTGACCGACCATCGAGAGGGATGGTTTAGCGCTGATGATTGACGATGAAGGTTCTGGGCAGATTGGGCCGGCCTAGCAACAAGAGGCTCAAATCTGATTGGACAGAAAAACCTCATGTGCACACAGGCTTGTGTCAAGAGATGAAGTTTGGGCTTCTTTTTGAGTTCTCTTTCTCACCTCTGCAGAATTCCAAGGTAGCTTCCAGAGCTGCTTCCACTTCTCGGACTCCTTCTGCATGGAGCAGACGGTGAACGGTGGTGGCAAAGATTCTCACGCCTACGCTTCCCATCAGCACAATGGCTTCCACATGGCCACCAGCAACTCACTGGGCCCCGCAGGTGAGCCATCCCATAATGCTTCCATTCAGGCTAGGGTAATCATTCCGCCTGCATCAGGTTGGTATGTGTGTGTGTGTGTGTGTGTGTGTGTGTGTGTGTGTGTGTGTGTGTGTGTGTGTGTGCGTGTGCGTGTGTGTGTGTGTTTGTGCGCACGTCTCCCAGGCTTCAACTTGAGTCAGGGGCTGCAAGGCGGCACAGGGTGCCAGTTCTCCTCCAGTCCAGAGGAGGGCGCCTACTTCCAGACGGGCAGCTTTGAGCGCAGCCTCGGCCAC